CTGGATTCTTTTCGTTATTATTTTAATCCCAGCCAAGCATTGCATAGTTAAAAGGGGGGGGTGGGGGGGTGTTGTGTTCAGCTTTTCTTTCCTTCTTTTTTTTTTTCCCTTCTCCTTTCCCTTCTTCCCCTTTGCTGTGGTAAAGCAGAGGCCATTGTTATCAGTGAGCAGCGCGTACCAGTCTATAGGGCAACTAGAATCTCAGGGTTTGTCCATTCAAAGCCCTCAGCTTTTCTGCACATCTTGGAAGCTGGAAAGCATCTTGATTTTTTTTTTTTTTTTCACCCTCTTCCCCAAACGGAGACAGAGAGACAATTTGAGCTGCCGTAACCGAAAGCTCCACTGGCTGAGCCCCCTCCCCCTCTGTTTTGGCTTTTTTTTTATACATATATACATGCACATGCTGGATTTTTTTCCTCTCTCTCGTATATTCCTTTAACGTTTTTAAAGGAAGGGGGTCATTCCTTGCTTATTGATTGCGTGGATGCTGGATGTGAAAATATATTATGTCTGCCTGTGCTTTGCTCGTCAGAGACTAAGGTAAGCCGGACTCAAATAGGCTATCACTTTGTGAATGGCGGAGTATATGTCCCAATGATTTATGACCATATGACTCCAATCTCGGTTCAAGAAGAGTTCACAAGCTTTAAGCTTCCTTCCACGCAGAGACTCTTTTGCAGCCCTCATCCAGGGCCCTTTTTTTCCCCCCTGCTTTACAACTGGGGAGTTCTGGTTGGGGTGAAGCTCGGTTGTGGGGGGAGGGAAGAGGGAAATTTTAGGAATGCGTCTCTGTTTTCCAGGCATATCCACCGCAAGGCAGTCGCTGGGATTTGAGCTCTTTCTGAGCAGCCGACCTATTGTTAAGGGCACGTTTAGAATATTTATTATTAATAATAATTTAAATTAAAAGCGGGGCTATGCCTGTTTTCGCTGGCTCTGGGAAATATACCTTAGGAGGGGGCGGGGGGAGGGGAAAGGCGCTGCTCTTCTTCATAAACACAGTCAGGTTGTGAATTTAGGATTTCCAACATGGAGGGGATGGCTTTACAGGAGAATACCTCTGCCTTAGATTTTTTGTCTCTTTTTCCCCCGACCGTCTGATTTTTCCCCGAGCATCCTCCTCCCCGCAGCCCTTTCCCTCTCGCGCCTTCCCCCGGTTTTTATTTATTTTATTTTATTTTTTTTAATGTCCCTAAATCCTCGCACTCAAAAGTTGCAGGCAAAGAGTTTGTGGTTAAATGTTACCGCTCGCAAAGTGAAACTTGGAGCGCGATGAAACAGCCAGCGCGGATCCTGCCCGGCTTTAATTGGAACAGGAGATAATCGAATATTTATCATTCTGCCTGAGATTTTTTTTTTTTTTTTAAACAATCCCTTGGAGTAAATAATTAGGATTGCGGCCGTCCTCGGCGAAGATAAATGAGCGGCATTTGTGAGGCGCTGAGAGATGAGGTACAAAGCAAATCTTCTGTGGAAGCCACAAGCGAGCGAGCTTTTGGGCGAAGGGGATTGTAAATTTATTTTATGGACATTTAAAAAAAAAAAAATCGTCGCTGTTATTTTTAGCTGCTTTAGCCGAGCCTCTCCGCTCGGTTCTGGTTTGGGTTTGTTTTGGTTTGTTTTGTTTTTTTAAGAAACCTATGCCAGACAGGAAGGCCTTGGAGAAATTCCCACCTCTGCCCTCGTAGATATTTTCAGCAAACCTATTCATAATAAAGGCGCTGCTGTTTGTTAATTAATTCACAGCTTCTCGGCTCGGGTAGCGGAGTCTACTTTTTAATAAGACATATTTATCATGACGAGGAAACCAAATGAGAGTAACTCCCAGCAAGGGTATCGTCCTCTCTGTAGACAATAATACATCTCCGTGGAAGATGCAATACAGATTTGGGAATGCATAAAGGATTTAATCAGTGTAAAAAAGCGAAGCAGTCCCTTCGTGGACACGTTGTCTGAGACTGTGTTGGAAGTATACGGAGGTTTCATATGACATGACATACGAACGCAGCAGTCAGGGAAGGGAAAAAAAGATGTTATTTATTGTCCAGCTATGGCTTCTGTTAAACCCCGGTACTTAGAAATATCGCATTAGGCTTTATCTCCACAAAGTTTATTTTATTTTATTTTAGAGAATGAAAGAGCCCAGATAAAATTAAATATACAATAGATACAATTAAATATACAATGGATACAAATTTCAAAACAAAATGCACAGTGGCTCCTCGCAAACTCTGAGCTGCAGAGAGAAGTCACTGCCTTTTTAAAATACGTTTGCTGCTTGGTTGATCCTCACACATCAGATTATTTTCAGGTCGAGATAGTTTTCATATTTCTAAGGGTATTTCTACTCTGTCTTTATGGTAGAGAAAGTGTATGTTTTGAGAAAAGAAAGAGAAAGAAAGAGAGAAAGAAAAAGAAAAAGGCCAGAGAGGGAAATAAAAGAGGAAGGTTTCATTTTGTAATTTGAGGTTTTGGACTGAGGTTTTAGACTTTTTGAGCTTGGATTGAGGGAGGGAGGAAGGATGAAAAATCAAAGGGGTAGAAAGTTAAGAGCAAATGGCCTGGTGATGCGTTTGTTTTCCAACGAAAAAAAAACAACAGCAATTAAACTGGTTTTGGAATCACATCTTGCCAATGGTAGTTCCAGATTCAAGACTGATGAGTACAAAGCAGCGCAGGCAATGAAGGGTATGTTTTCTAAATACAACCTGTGCTACCAGAGTGAGAGGGAGAGACTAACAAACAGGCCAAAAGAAGCACATTCTTGAATTCATGCCCCTGCTTAAATCTGCCTAAAATATTTGCACTGAATTCCAAAGACATTGAGAGTCCCTGTGCAAACAGCAAATCAAGCCAACTGTGTCAGGACACCGTTACCTGGATAAAACATATTGACTATTTGCTGTTTTCAGGTTAAAAACAAATGGACTGGACAACGGCCCTACAAGAAACTTAGCAGACTTTTAATTTCTGATGCTATAACGTCTTGCTGGTTTTTATGTGTGCGAATGGCTGATTTGAATAGGTCAGGGGTAAGAAAGCAAGACTTTCCTTCCTTTCGTGCTTGTAGCTAGCGATTATCCATTCCGTATTCTTATATTTACATTAATGTGTGCGCTATCTGGACACGGATGTGTATACGTGCACACGACACACACATCTACATGCATATACACACACATTTTATATGGGAGTACAAGTGCATGCGTGGGGGTGTGTATATATGTGTATAGATAAATATGGAAGTAAATAGATGTATACAGATGAAACCACGTGTACTTAAAGAGCATGTGTGTAGTTATACATCCTGGGTGCCCTCCTCTAAGGGAAAAAAAGGTGCAAACAACGAACCAACCAGGAAAACTACCCCCCAAAATCAGCTCAACACACTTGCACCGTAACATTTGTTGAGCCTCCTTAGGCTGCACACAGGACAAAATCTGCTCAAAGCATCTGTTCGCCCTGTTCTGTGGGACCCTATTCATGTCATGGGCCTTTCAGGCCCCAAGATGGATTCATAGGCCGGGTACTATTATTGTGTGTTTTCTCCTAACCTTTCAGGTCAGCTTCCAATAGACAGCTGGAAACGGCCTGTCACGTGGCCTTGGGGTGCCAATGTTCTGCCATAGGGGTGTCAAGACCCTGGTAGCCGGAAAAATCATTTTGGGGAGTCCCAGAGATGCAGAAGACAACGTACTACGACAGCTCCACGCTCTTTGGGGGTTACTCTTACGGGAGTGCCAATGGGTTCGGCTACGAGGGTCCCCAGCAGCCCTTCCAGCCAGCCTCTCACGTGGAGAACGACTACCAGAGGTCCGCCTGCTCCCTCCAGTCTCTTGGCAACACAACCCCGCACGCAAAAAGTAAAGACCTGAACGGGAGCTGCATGCGTCCAAGTTTGCCCCAGGAGCACCATCCGCCTCCCCCCGTCTCGCCGCCCCCAAACCCTGCCACCAACAGCACCAGTAGCAACAGCAATAACCAGTCGGGGAGCAGTAAAACTGCCCCCAGCAAAGCCAACCTCAGTGCAAGCGCCAGTCTCACCAAGCAGATTTTCCCCTGGATGAAAGAATCGAGGCAAAACTCCAAACAGAAAAACAGCTCCCCTAGCACAGGTACACTGTTCTGCTTTTTGTAACCCTCTGCTTTCCTAAACAGCAAGGTAATGAAGCCACCGGCCGGAGTGGTCTTGTTTGGAGGGAGGGGAGAGGGGGAGAGGACGCAGTGAGGACGCAGTGAGGATGCAGCAAGGATCCAGCGAGGATCCTGGTGCTGGGCATGATCCCAAGACTGCCAGCCGCATGCCCTGGCCAGGCTGAACGAGTCTTGGCCCATCCTGCAGCGCTGACTGCGCACACTTGGTTTATTTTAAACATATCCGGAGCACCACAGGGAAATACAACCAGGCGGTTGTACACAGCCGATGTCTGACTGTGTAGGTACAGATACATGAAAATGTACGCCCACTGCTCAACCTAGCGATGCTAAAGCGGAGTGCTTGTTCTCTTCCCACCTCCCTGCCTCCGGACACAGCAGTAAACCTGGTGCTCTTTGAGTGTATGTGTGCACGTAGAGAGCAGATGCATAAACAAATGGATATTCTTGCATGCATACACGCACATCTCTAACGCGATCAAGAAAAAAATCAGTATGGAAATATCACTGTTCTGACAAATATATTCATATAAACTTTGCGGCACACACTTCACTCTACGTTAACATAATTTGTTATATACATGTTTATCTCATAAAAAGGTAGGTACAAATGCAATTCGGTGTTTAACAACGTACATGCAAATATTTGTGTTACACAAATACGAGACACAAGATACGCGTGTGTGCGTGCATTCGTACCTCGGCAAACCAAGTACCTCCCAACACTGACCCGTGTTAGTATTAATTGGCTTTGCAGTGACTGCCCCCCTGCCAAATATTATTTTCTCAAAATTATCTGTTGGAAATAATCGACTCCTAAATAAATGGCCCTGGAATCCTTTTCTACATGACATGATCAAATTTTCATAAACCAGGGGCAGCTTTGGAGAACAGAACTCTTAATAAATGACATGATTATGGAGTGCAGGCTAATGCGAAGGGGTGAGGAAAGGGGGGGTCGAACTCTTGTGCCTGTTCCAGGATTTATTAAGAAACGATGCATTCAATTTCTGCATGTAAGTAATTATCTTTTATTTCATTTCGCGGCCAGCAGAAACCTGCAGTGGCGAGAAAAGCCCTCCAGGCTCCTCGGCCTCCAAGAGAGCCCGCACAGCCTACACCAGCGCTCAGCTGGTGGAGCTGGAGAAGGAATTCCACTTCAACCGCTACCTGTGCAGGCCCCGCCGCGTGGAGATGGCCAACCTGCTGAACCTCAGCGAGAGGCAGATCAAGATCTGGTTCCAGAACAGGAGGATGAAGTACAAGAAAGATCAGAAGTCAAAAGGCATGGGGTCTTCCTCTGGAGGGCCTTCCCCCACCGGCAGCCCGCCCCAGCCCATGCAATCCTCCGCCGGATTTATGAACGCCTTGCACACCATGAGCAGTAACTATGATGCCCCCTCGCCACCTTCCTTCAATAAACCCCACCAAAATGCCTATGCCATGTCAACTAACTACCAAAACCCCATCAAAGGCTGCCCCTCCCAACAAAAATACGCCAACACGGCCCCCGAGTATGACCCCCACGTCTTACAAGGGAACGGGGTGGCCTACGGGACTCCCAGTATGCAGGGAAGCCCCGTCTATGTTGGAGGTAACTATGTGGATTCTATGCCCGCCTCTGGCCCGTCCCTTTACGGCCTCAATCACCTGCCACATCACCAGGCTGCCAACATGGACTACAACGGGCCTCCGCAGATGCCCCCGAGCCAGCACCACGGACCATGCGAGACCCACCCCACCTACACAGACCTTTCCACGCACCACGCTTCTTCTCAGGGCAGAATCCAAGAGGCGCCCAAGCTGACCCACCTGTGATAGGGAGCAGGGACAGGCTCAGGCGAAGCGGATGGGACCTCGCCACGGGGCGTGGGAGAGGGGAAGAGGGCAGGATCGGCTTCAGGAACATTTGTGTTGAGCTATTTTCTTTTTTTCTTTGACAGGGCAATTTCTACCAGGTTGTTGTGCTTGCTGTTGTTATTCCTGGGTTTTATTAGGCACAATTTCCAACCAGTTCAGTATTTACTGCCAAGAGCAACTCTCTCTGAAGAGATATACCTCCTGTGTTTCAACACAAATGCTTCTGAAATGGGTTTGGGGTAGCTTTGTGGGAATCTAGCAGATTTCTAGCAGCAGCATCCTTCATTTCCAAACCAAGTACAGATCGTCACTGATAATTCTCGGACACTGGAAAGGAGAATAGTCAGCCAGGCAAATCTTTACAGTTGGTGTCTCTGCATCTATGTAAACATGCACACATGTATACATATGCAATCAAAAGAGATTCGCAAGAAAACTACCCTCCTCTCCAATTCCTTCTCAAGAGGAACCTCGCGCTTTCCTTCCCAGCCTTCAGAGGAAGGGCATCCTTTTTCGCTGAGTAACTTCCCACCAGTCCGCACATAAACTGCAAATATACACACCTGCCAACGCGTGGGATTCACGCTCTTCCCCTCCGGCCCCTGCCTCCCCTCTCAAAAAAAATTATAATAATTAAAAAAATTAGAATAAGAGAGGTCTAAGAATTGCAAAAGGTTCGGGAAACAAGTTTTTGAAATGCCTAAAAAGCCCCCACCAACAGTAACAGCAGTCCAAAGAGAGGAAGAAAGAGTTGACAGGTCTGAATATTTTCCCACCTTTGCCTCTGATGACATGACGTCTCCATTCGACGGCGCTGGGGTTTTTTGTTTTGGGGGTATTTTTCTTAGGGTTCATTAACAGAAAAGCAATCTTAAGACTTAGAAGTCCTACGCTTCCTTCCTCCTCTTCTCTTGACCTTACGTGAAAACAGGGTATATTTGAACAAACGGAATGTCCTCCAATCGAAGCAGAAGTGAATGGATCTCTAGTATTTGCTAATGCTTTCTTGTCTGGACATCTTTGTTGCACTTAGAGTTTACATATAATGGGTATAAAAACAACTTTGAAGGGCGTTCGTCCAACTCAGTCGAGACGTCCTTCAATAGGTGTGTGTTCTGGTGAACATTCATATATATTTATTGGTTATAGCCAGTTTAAAATATTTTCCTTTTTTTGTATTATTTATCCCCAATATTATGTATTTATATGAGGAAAAAAGAATCAAATTGTACTTTTTTAGTATTTACTTGTTATAAAGGACATTGTGTTTCCTTGTCATTGTACAACAAGCTTATTTTAGTTATTGTAATTTAGAAAGACCAGTAGTTTTATGTTACCTTCGTACTTATGAATAATGTAATTAGTTCTACTGGAGGCATGAGAGCAGAACCAGACTGTAATTGTATAGTCCTGAATTAGAAGAACTATAGCTAATCCCTCCCTCCCACCTCACCCCTCCTCTTTGGAGATCTTTCTTTGTTCTTATAGTAGTTATTTTATTTCCTTGCTTAAGGGTTGTCTGTTGAACAATTCTTGAATAAACTTTCTGTTATCAATTTTATCTTGTCCTATCCGTCGGATTTCAAGGCAAAAATAAATAACGCCTGAGTAAAAATGGCGAAGAGAACGCAGGGAAGGGACCGCTCGAAACGGTCCGGAGTCCAGACGGCGGGATTCGTGTCTGCGTCCCCTTCTGGGGTGAAACCCCGGGGGGGGCTGCCATTGGGCCGCGAATGAAAACAAAGGAAAAGGATTAATCACACACAAAACCAGAAAAAGGGCCCAGAGTTTCCATGCGGGGACCTTAAAAGTGAAGAGGAACTAAATCACTTATTATAATTAATTATTATTAAAAGACGCGCAGACGTGCACGCGCGCGCACACGTGCACGCGCACACATACGTGTGCACACACATGCACACGAAACCGCACGCACCTACACCCCCCTCAGACCAACACGCAGACCTAAAATTGTTATTAAGAGGGGAAAAAGCCGCCGCCAAAGGTCACATTACCAGTGCAAGCAAAAGGGAGACTAACCCTTTGCCAGCAGCACAAGCAGACGGGATAATACCGTGAATAATTTGCTTTCTATGCTCTAAAGCCCTAAGAAAACTTATATTAAAGCAGCGAGGGCCACTAAAAGTTTTATGGTTCTGGAAAGGGAGCGGACTGCTTGTCAGGCTCGAAATGCTCCGTTTCTGTGGCTGATGAAGAGGGGAAGGTCCCCTCCGGAGGAAAGGAGAGGGGGATTTTGATTGCTGCCGGGAGAAAAGGGTGAAAAGGCTGTAAAAGGTACCGAAAAAAGGGCTGGGCTGTAGAAACTGAGTGTGTGCGTGTGTGTATCTGTATTCTGTACACCTGTGCGCGCAGCCAGGGACACCCATAGGTGCCTGGGTAAACCCACACGTATAAAAAGGTCGAGCGGAGAAAGCTTTCCATGAGAAATGATCTCGCGCTTCTTTCTGTCTCTGATCTCTCTTCATAAATGAAGTTCCAGGTTAATAATTATAACCTTCCCGCAATAATAAATAACGGTAGAACAGAGAGACAGGGCTTGTTTTTCTCCCCAGGACCGGGGCTGGGTTGTGGCCGTCCATGCAGAGAGCAATTTACCATTCGGGGATGCTGTAATTTAAAAGCATAAAAGCGTGCAGGCTCTGATTGGGATCGGCTCAAAGAACAAGAGCTCGGGCTGGGCTTGGGTTTGTCGTTGGCTTCCCCCCGCCCTCTCACTGGATATATTTTTCCACCTCGCATCCCGGTCGCCATGTTGCTGGGTTTTGTGTCAGGGATTCCCAGGAACTAGTTAAATTCAGGAAAAAGAAGCCAATTCCGAGGCTCAGAGCGTGACACCTCTCAGTTTCTGGACGGGCTCCCTCTCCTACAACTGCTCACATCCACGGTTTAATTTGCATTAAAGAAGCAGGCCCGGGTTTGTCTCACAGTGATTGCATTTCTCTATCGTTCGCTAACCCTGTGAATTTATTCGTATAAGGTGATGCCTTTCCCCTTGAGTAGGGAGATTATTTTTTTTCCTTGTGCCTCCGCCTGGTGCGTGGGAAAAATCCCTCTTTCCCCACGAGGTTCTCTTTTCCTTTCCTTTTCTCTTTTCTTTTCTTTTCTTTTCTTTTCTTTTCTTTTCTTTTCTTTTCTTTTCTTTTCTTTTCTTTTCTTTTCTTTTCTTTTCTTTTCTTTTCTTTTCTTTTCTTTTCTTTTCTTTTCTTTTCTTTTCTTTTCTTTTCTTTTCTTTTCTTTTCTTTTCTTTTCTTTTCTTTTCTTTTCTTTTCTTTTCTTTTCTTTTCTTTTCTTTTCTTTTCTTTTCTTTTCTTTTCTTTTCTTTTCTTTTCTCTTCTCTTCTCTTCTCTTCTCTTCTCTTCTCTTCTCTTCTCTTCTCTTCTCTTCTCTTCTCTTCTCTTCTCTTCTCTTCTCTTCTCTTCTCTTCTCTTCTCTTCTCTTCTCTTCTCTTCTCTTCTCTTCTCTTCTCTTCTCTTCTCTTCTCTTCTCTTCTCTTCTCTTCTCTTCTCTTCTCTTCTCTTCTCTTCTCTTCTCTTCTCTTCTCTTCTCTTCTCTTCTCTTCTCTTCTCTTCTCTTCTCTTCTCTTCTCTTCTCTTCTCTTCTCTTCTCTTCTCTTCTCTTCTCTTCTCTTCTCTTCTCTTCTCTTCTCTTCTCTTCTCTTCTCTTCTCTTCTCTTCTCTTCTCTTCTCTTCTCTTCTCTTCTCTTCTCTTCTCTTCTCTTCTCTTCTCTTCTCTTCTCTTCTCTTCTCTTCTCTTCTCTTCTCTTCTCTTCTCTTCTCTTCTCTTCTCTTCTCTTCTCTTCTCTTCTCTTCTCTTCTCTTCTCTTCTCTTCTCTTCTCTTCTCTTCTCTTCTCTTCTCTTCTCTTCTCTTCTCTTCTCTTCTCTTCTCTTCTCTTCTCTTCTCTTCTCTTCTCTTCTCTTCTCTTCTCTTCTCTTCTCTTCTCTTCTCTTCTCTTCTCTTCTCTTCTCTTCTCTTCTCTTCTCTTCTCTTCTCTTCTCTTCTCTTCTCTTCTCTTCTCTTCTCTTCTCTTCTCTTCTCTTCTCTTCTCTTCTCTTCTCTTCTCTTCTCTTCTCTTCTCTTCTCTTCTCTTCTCTTCTCTTCTCTTCTCTTCTCTTCTCTTCTCTTCTCTTCTCTTCTCTTCTCTTCTCTTCTCTTCTCTTCTCTTCTCTTCTCTTCTCTTCTCTTCTCTTCTCTTCTCTTCTCTTCTCTTCTCTTCTCTTCTCTTCTCTTCTCTTCTCTTCTCTTCTCTTCTCTTCTCTTCTCTTCTCTTCTCTTCTCTTCTCTTCTCTTCTCTTCTCTTCTCTTCTCTTCTCTTCTCTTCTCTTCTCTTCTCTTCTCTTCTCTTCTCTTCTCTTCTCTTCTCTTCTCTTCTCTTCTCTTCTCTTCTCTTCTCTTCTCTTCTCTTCTCTTCTCTTCTCTTCTCTTCTCTTCTCTTCTCTTCTGCCATTGGGCCGCGAATGAAAACAAAGGAAAAGGATTAATCACACACAAAACCAGAAAAAGGGCCCAGAGTTTCCATGCGGGGACCTTAAAAGTGAAGAGGAACTAAATCACTTATTATAATTAATTATAAGTAAAAGACGCGCAGACGTGCACGCGCGCGCACACGTGCACGCGCACACATACGTGTGCACACACATGCACACGAAACCGCACGCACCTACACCCCCCTCAGACCAACACGCAGACCTAAAATTGTTATTAAGAGGGGAAAAAGCCGCCGCCAAAGGTCACATTACCAGTGCAAGCAAAAGGGAGACTAACCCTTTGCCAGCAGCACAAGCAGACGGGATAATACCGTGAATAATTTGCTTTCTATGCTCTAAAGCCCTAAGAAAACTTATATTAAAGCAGCGAGGGCCACTAAAAGTTTTATGGTTCTGGAAAGGGAGCGGACTGCTTGTCAGGCTCGAAATGCTCCGTTTCTGTGGCTGATGAAGAGGGGAAGGTCCCCTCCGGAGGAAAGGAGAGGGGGATTTTGATTGCTGCCGGGAGAAAAGGGTGAAAAGGCTGTAAAAGGTACCGAAAAAAGGGCTGGGCTGTAGAAACTGAGTGTGTGCGTGTGTGTATCTGTATTCTATACACCTGTGTGCGCAGCCAGGGACACCCATAGGTGCCTGGGTAAACCCACACGTATAAAAAGGTCGAGCGGAGAAAGCTTTCCATGAGAAATGATCTCGCGCTTCTTTCTGTCTCTGATCTCTCTTCATAAATGAAGTTCCAGGTTAATAATTATAACCTTCCCGCAATAATAAATAACGGTAGAACAGAGAGACAGGGCTTGTTTTTCTCCCCAGGACCGGGGCTGGGTTGTGGCCGTCCATGCAGAGAGCAATTTACCATTCGGGGATGCTGTAATTTAAAAGCATAAAAGCGTGCAGGCTCTGATTGGGATCGGCTCAAAGAACAAGAGCTCGGGCTGGGCTTGGGTTTGTCGTTGGCTTCCCCCCGCCCTCTCACTGGATATATTTTTCCACCTATCATCCCGGTCGCCATGTTGCTGGGTTTTGTGTCAGGGATTCCCAGGAACTAGTTAAATTCAAAAAGAAGCCAATTCCGAGGCTCAGAGCGTGACACCTCTCAGTTTCTGGACGGGCTCCCTCTTACAACTCCTCTCACATCCACGGTTTAATTTGCATTAAAGAAGCAGGCCCGGGTTTGTCTCACAGTGATTGCATTTCTCTATCGTTCGCTAACCCTGTGAATTTATTCGTATAAGGTGATGCCTTTCCCCTTGAGTAGGGAGATTATTTTTTTTCCTTGTGCCTCCGCCTGGTGCGTGGGAAAAATCCCTCTTTCCCCTCTATTTTCTCTTTTCCTTTCCTTTTCTTCTTTTCTTTTCTTTTCTTTTCTTTTCTTTTTTCTTTTCTTTTTCCTTGCAAATTTAGTGTTGGCAAAAGCAGCAAGAACAGTTGGGAGGCTGGGAAGACTTTTCTTTTCTTTTCTTTTCTTTTTCCTTGCAAATTTAGTGTTGGCAAAAGCAGCAAGAACAGTTGGGAGTGGCTGGAAAGAGTTTCCTTTCGCATCCCAAACTCGTTTGCTGTATCCCAGCTCCCTGGTGAACCGCACCGTCCCTCGAAAAGGAGGAACCGGCAGCCTCATGACAAAGCCTGAGACCCCCAAAGCGCCACTTTAATCCAAACAAGCAAGAAATTATCGGAAACTTAACTATTAATTTTTACATCCGTCCTGATCTGCCGAGACTGAATAGATTTATGCTGATTTCGATAAGCGCATTCACAGATATGAAATATTTAGGGAAATTCTCCCTTCAATCGAGCTGCATTTCGCAAATGCTTTTTTATTTTCTTCGCCCCTTTGCTAAACTGCGCTTCGGCCTCGGCTTCAGCTTCAGATTTATTATGTGTTTCTCAGAAACCCTTGCCACCCACACAGATGCTTGAACTGACAAAAGTTTCTAGGCTTCTCCCTGCGTGAATGCAGCCTGCCCGTCCCTCTCCGCTGCAAAATGGGAGAAATGGAGCTTGAACAAAAAAACTACAAACCAGCCACATTTCCATTCTGCAGCAGGCAGCTTATTTTTTTACCCCCCCCCCCCCCCCCCTCAC